CTAGATATCGCTGTTGTCGCGGATATATATACTTTGTTGTTGGGTGTTTTCTGTGTTTGATTTGGCTATCCTTTGCATGCACTCGCCTTGGAATATCGTATCTGTGCTGTGCCTATTAATTTGGATCGACGCTTTGATTTGATTGGCTTGTACTGGTGTTGTTTGCTTCGATGGTGTGCATGTTTTTAATCGACAGTTGTAGTGAATGATTTACATACACCTTGCCCTCGAGCAGGCAAGCTTCTGCATTTCCGAGTCGTTGTTGGACTTTTGAGTTTTGTGGATATTTCGGTAAAGTACTTCTCTTTCGTTTGTGTCGATTGTTAGTTTTGAGTCCATTTCCAAAACCAAAAATGGTGGTTAATTGTGGCAAAATGACTATTAAAGTGCAGGCAGGATACTTTTAATGAAGTTTGAGAACAGACCAATGTATTAAAAGCGTGAGACGTGGGCGAGGCGTGGGATAGCCCAACCTAGGTGTGAGGCGAAGCCTTATGGGACCTTAAATAACAGAGGATTGCTGAGAAAAATAGAGGAAACATGGACTCTTGGGGTTTTAAAAATAAAAGAAAAACAGACTTGGCCAAAACGACGTCGTTTTGGGCGAAGTCATTTTAAAAACAAAAAATCTATCTCCTTCACAGTCGTCTTCCTCGTGAAGACGCCGCATAGCTTGCAACCCTAAACCCATATGGCAGAGCTTGAAAACAGAGTAGTTAACTTCGATTTTGGGTCGCACATGGACCTGGGAACGCCCGCCAACCGCCTTTAGGCGCGCCTTAGCCACCTAGTCTCGCCTCTACCATGCCTCGGCAAGTTTTCGCCCACTCCCACTGGGCAGATGTGTTATCACTCCTGCCCTGCCTCCAAAGCTATCTAGGCGGGCCTCGGGGCACGTCTTTTAAAACATTGGAACATACCATTTCTTCATTTTCGTATACTGTTTGTACTTACGGCTCTACAGATGGCTAAAGAGTTGGATGAAATATTAGATCATGCTTCCTGCTGCATAGCAGATACTGGATGTATGTCGTTCCTTGTGCTAATCATTTTTCCAATATATGGAACATTGGTTGCGGTTAGTGGGTCTCTATTTCACATTTCATTTTTCCAATAAATGGAACAATGCTACTCTTAGTCATCCTCGAGTTTGAGTGATCAATGAGTGTAGCTTTCCTTGATCAACAAATCTAGCTTTCGACTTTATCAGGTTTCTAGAATTAACAGAAGTTTTGTGATTTGGCAGGCCGGCCACTCGTAGAACAAGTAGCTATTAAACTGGTTCTAAGCTGGTATAGTGTTTGTTCTCTTTCTAATATTGAAGTAATCTCAAGTTACGAACGTCCTCACTCTCATAATTTGTTGAAACATATTTGGTTAATTTGGATTGACGTTTTGATTTGATTTGATTTGTTGAAACATATTTTTTTTATTATTATATAAATGCCCAGCCCTTGTTCACATGCACCTTGCCCCTCGACCTGGAGCACTTCTGCATTTTCGAGTCATTGTTGGTCTTTTGAGTTTTGTGGATATTTCGCTTAGGTAATGGTTGTTGGTGTTCATACTGCCCTTCTCTCTCTTTTGTGTTCATTGTTAGTTTTGAGTCCGTTTCCAAAACAAAAAAGGGTTGTGGTTAATTGTGGAATACTGTTACATATTGAGCTGGATTTTTGGAGGCCCATATGATATTGATATTGGGTTTTTAACATTAGGCAGGATAAGCAAGGCCCATAGAACATTGCTTGTTGCAGACGTTGTCTATGCTCTATTACAATTTTCAGACTTATAACTCAATTTTGCAGGGCAGCTGGCATTCATGGTTCCCTTGAACAAGATGTTGCAAAATTTCCCCAAATGGCAAAAGCCTTCATAATTGTATTGAAGGTGAAAAGTATCTTCTCATTTTATTTTCAAAATATAGTTTGAATATACAACAAAGATACAATTAGTACTGGCAACAAGTAGTACTAGTTATTTGTACTGGCAACAAGTTGTACTAGTTACCGAGTAGAAAGAGATTGAACAGATGATTAAATGTTAAATTCTCGTCTTTATCATATTTAGTTTATGCAAAAGAAAATTATACTAAAGAATATGAAAACAGGCTGCATTTTTGGGCGAGTCAGCTTCTTTTGGTTTGTTCCACTTAGAGATTGAGCAAACGATTAAATGTTAAATTCTTGTCTTTATCAATTTAATTTATGCAAAAGAAAAGTATCCTAAAGAATATGAAAAGAGGCTGTGTTTTTGGGCAAGTCGTATTTTGGTTTGTTGAAACACACCACTCGTTTCATGAACGAATTGGACAAAAAAAGGCAACCAAATGTTTAATTACCACACATGGGTCCTTAAATTAGAAAGTAAAATTCATATTGATTAGCGTTTCCTGTGTTCTAATAGTTTTCCACGAAGCATTTACTTGAAGACATGCCTTAGTGAAGCCTTTTTGCTAATGGTATAGAAAAATGCGTAAAAAAAGAATATTTTTTTTTTTGGTTATCAATAAGATCGTATTCAGCTGGGCAAAAAGATATTCAGTAGCTATTTAATTAAACTAGCTCTCACATAAAATCAATGTTTAAAATATCGATATCAGTAGAAATATTGATACACAAATTTATAAAAATATAGATAGTTATCGATACCGATTGATTTTGATGGAAATTTAAAATGAAACTTCAAAGATTATCAAACATTAATTTCAATGAAATATAAGAATTTCTCCGATATTTAACAGACATCCATTTTGTTGCTCTTATTTCATTACGAGTAGGCCAAAACAAAATATTAGACAAGGACAATATTTTTGTACTACAATGCGTCCAAAAGGAGTGGACCCAATGTGGACTTGCCATGTTACAAATGATCACACATGCAAACAATTTCAAAACCAGAAAAGTTCAATGTGCTGGTCCACATGGCAATAAGGGTGAAAAAGATACATTCTTTGTGTTCCCACATCAATCCGCAACGAATGTTTGCTCTTGCAAAGCTTGTCTATTGGCATATAACTTTGGAGAGCACAGTGAGACAGCAGCATAAATGAAACCAACATTTTTTCATACTTTCTCCAAACCAGTATCTCATTAAATCGTTTTAAATTTTTTTGAAGAGCTTCAGAACTTCATTTGGGATTTGTTTGCACTGTAAGTTTTGTTCTCTTTCTTTTTTGGAATATGTTTTCATGGTTGTACCTTCTTGCTATGTTTACACAATGCATCATCTTCCATAGCAAATGCCATAGGATTGGTATTTTCCACATAACCCACCAACCTCAACACTGCGAGATTTCTCCCAGGATTATCTCAACTTCATCGTACCGACATGGGACTTGTCTCCCAACAAGAACTCATGTTCTGCATTGACCTCTAAAACGCCACAACCAGGAAGCTTCCTCACACCTTTTGCCTTCATAGTTTGCCGCACGTTCCAACTCCATCCCAAAGCTTGGAATCGACATAAATATTCGACGTAAGCATCATGGTTCTTGACCTGCAGTTCATTTGAAAATTTGTGATTTTTCAAAATTTAGGATTTAAGAACTTTTGCTATTTTTCTATCTATAGTGCTATGTTCAGAGTAAAGATTAGACTTTTTTGTGGTTTGCAGTGTTAAGGTGTTGAAGGTTTGTGAAAATGAGCTCGGAGCATATCTAAAGAGTGACATTTTTAACGGCGGATTTTCTCGGGTCACAAATGAGCTCGAAAAGTGAGGATCATAGCTTTGAAGGATATAAATCTAAGAAGAATAAGCTCGAAACTATGGACCGATCCTCTCTTCTTAGATTTCTATCCTTCAAAGCTGTTATCCACACTTTTTGAGCTCAATTGCTACTCGGGAAAATCCATCATTAAAAATGCCACTCTTCAAATATGCTCCGAGCTCATTTTGACAAACATTCAACACCTTGACACTGCAAACCAAAAAAAGGTGTAATCTTTACTCTGAACATAACACTACTGATAGAGAGAAAAATAGAAAAAAATTATTAAATCCTAAATTTTGAAAAATCACAAACTTTCAAATCAACTAGAAACCAAGAACCATGGCGTTTGTGGTTTTTGTCGAATATTTATGCCGATTCCAAGCTTTGGGACGCAGTTAGAACGTGTAGCAAACTATGAAGGTACAACCATAAAGTTGAGATAATTCTGGAAGAAATCTCGCAGCGGCTAAGGTTGGTGGGTTATGTGGCTAATACCAATCCTATTCCTTTTGATATGGAAGAAGAAAGATGATGAATTGTGTAAACATAGCAAGAAGGTACAACCATAAAAAAAATGAAAACATATTCCAAAAAAGAAAAAGAACAAAACTTACAATGTAGACAAATCACAATCCCAAATGAAGTTCTAAAGCTCTTCGTGTGAAATTTTTTTCGAAAAAATTTCAAACGATTTAATGAGATACTGGTTTAGAGACAAAAAAAGTATGAAAAAATGCTGGTTTCATTTATGTTGTTTTATTTTTGTTCCAAGCTTTGAGATATACAAAGAGAAGAAGAAAACATTTTGTGGCAGCCAAATTCCTCGTAGAAAAATTTGGCCAATGCAGAAATTGTGGGTGTTAAATACAAGGTTTAAGTTAGTTCGACAAAGAGACACTAACCTCGCTGGAAGAGTATTTGATTACAAAGATTTATTCACATCTCATTCCCTACCTACTTTTGCCCTGTGATGCTGCTAGTGAGTGGTTGACTAAGAGAACAAGTGACGTGATCACCAATTCCTTTCTCTATGTCAAGCTATAGACGTTAACTAAAGTACTTATTAGGAGGCAACCCAATTTTTCTAAAGTCTTTTCATTTTATTTTCTTCCTTTTAGTCTTTATCACAAATCTAAAAATAAATAAATAAAATATAGAAAAACACAAAAACATTAATTGTTTTTAGTTAATCAGTATTTTATCTTGGGTTTTATTCTAATTAGATTTTTAATGTGTGTTTTTGCAGGTTGCATTCGGATTTGATTGGCCCTAAATATCCACAGCGCGCACATTCATCTGAATCATGCATTCAGAATTTATACATTCAACTCAGCACATCAGCACTCACCATCATTCATCATTAACGAAAAGTGCAGAAAATTAATCGAATGCAGAAATATGCACAGGCAGTGTCCCAGACATACTCACAGTGGGGTTGGTGATGAAGTCCCTTGCATTGCTTGGCACTCGATCACTCCCTCGCATTTTATATAAAATATTATTACATACAAGTTTGGGGGTGGGATCCAAGCAACATAGAAGGGAGCACAGCTTTGCGAGCAAATCAAGTATCCAGTAGGACAGAGACCAGGGAAACTGATTCAACTCCTAGCACTAATCTGGGATGCATGCACCAAAAACTGAGTCACGGAGGTGCAGCGCACAGACTTTCACAAATCCAGGGACTACGTTCAATAGATCTATATCGAAAAATAGTTTTCCGGGTTGAGGATGTATACCTGTATTTTTGAGATCTGTGGATATCGAGGTTGCCGTTGCTCATTTTTCTGCGGATCGCGAGTTTGACGTTGCAACCGTTCCTTGTCGTGTTCGCCATCGTCTCTGATTGTCGTCTGCAACACAAGCTCACTAACATGCAAATATATTAGACTCGGATTTCACTAATATTGCATTTGGGCTGGAAATAAAAAATTAATGAGCAGAGAAGAGATCGATGTGTTTTACCTTTATGAGTCGGCAAACCGTGATGGCTGAAATAGGTGAGCTGGGCTCAGGTCTGAGGTTTTTGTTGAAGGCAGAGGGTTGCAGAAATGGTGGATGAGGGAGGGGCGGCTAAGGGTGTTTGTGTTGTGGATGAGAGAAGCGAGATAAATGCAAGGACGGTAGAGAGATGAGTCTTCAGTGGAGTGGCGCTGGGCTCGAGGATAGAGAGAGGAGAAGATGAGATGAGATGAGAGAGATGCTCTCCAACGGCAGCTTGTTGGAAATGCGACAAGATAGCTGATAACTAGGTTTAAATACTGAATTGCTAGGTTTCTTCTCAGGTGAAGGCTTGCACGTGTGAGGCTCAGTGCCTCTGTTGCTTCTTGGTCACGAGTTCGATCCCCGCGCCTGGCAAATTTGTGCCTTATTTTTCTGCTTCGTTTCCAGCGCCTTTCCCATGGCTCCAGGTCTCCAGTTCGAATCCAGGTGACTCCCTTCCTTTTTCTTCTTTTCTTTCTGTTTTATTGTTTGTTTATTTTAATGTATTTGTTTCGTTTATGTTTCCCTTGCTTCTAGTTTATTTATTTTAGGCTTCCGTTTTATCTTTTACCGTTTTTCTTTTTGTTATTCAGTTTGTATTTATTTTCCACACCTTGAGGGCAATGTGTGATTTAAGTTTGGGGGTGGGAAATAAGAAATTTTAGGTTTTTAATTTTTGTGTCAAGTTAGAAATTTTCATTCTTTTTAAGTTAATATCTATATATTATTTTAAACGTTAAAACAAATGGACATAATGAAGGTTAATCCCACATTAGAGTCTTTTCTTTTTATTGTTGTTTAGACACCAATTCATTAGTTATACTTTGAAAATTTGCACATTCACATCAACATGGTTTGTGGGGAGTGAAATTGAAATACTTGCATTTCGTGTAAGTAATTTTTAATTTTTGTTATAAATAAAGTAATAATTGTTCCACCCAAGACTTTGCTTAATAACCGAGCCAGTCCTACCTAATCAACAGTGATTCTCGCGTCAAACGGTAGAGTCTTGGTATGGGACAAGGTAGTTAGTTGGTTTCGTAGCCTTTTCAGCTCGAGTTAATAAGTCCTTAGGGGTGTTCTACACCTATTACCCTAAAGCCTTTATGATTTGGGAGTCATTGACCTAAAACTCGCTGCATGAGTTGGATAGAAAGTTTAAGGGAACTGGCATTGCACGACCACTACTATTACTGGAAAAAAAAATGAAAAAGAAGAAAAAAAAATTGAATTTTTTTTTTTGTCTTATTCAAGTTTTTGTTTTTAAGTTTGTTAGTTTTAGTTTTAGTTTTTGAGTTTTGTTTTGCTTGAGGACAAGCAAAAAGCTAAGTTTTGGGGTATTTGGTGAGTCCATATTTTAATATATATTTTACCCTAATCTTAGTATTAACTAGAAAATAAGCCCACGCGTTGCAGCGGGAACCACTGTTTTAGGCGTAACTGCATGAATAAGACAAGTTTAACCTGAAAAAATTCAACACAATCATGAATGAACAGAGGGACACATGAGTGAATGACGTTGATAAGATAAGTAGTTTGACTTTTATATACATTCCACTAAGTTGACATGTAAAGACATTGCACAATTAGTAGGAAGAAACTGAACGTTCTTGATCCCAAAGACATGGTTGCCAAAAAAGAATTGTTTCCATAAGAAACAGAAGAAACAGAAGCAACATGCAGTTCACACATATTTTGCCCTTGCAATTAAGAAGGCAAAATATGTGTCCTGTAGGGCAGGCACCTATTTCAGCAGTTAATAAAAAAACATAGAAAGTGTTCAGTACTTGTTCAAGTAGCTAATTTTCGAAGCACAAATAGTTCAAATTAGTGATTAATCAACCAGATAGTTAGTCTCAATGATCTCCCAATACCAAGGACATCATACAGAAATTCAAGTATACCTCGTTAACTCTCAACTCCTCAACTCCATCACTCTTCCCCCCATTGTTTCTAATTCACCTCTCCTTCAAACTCTTCGACTACAAATTTATGTATAGAAAATTGAACTGTCCATTTCAAATCATATATACATAGGCAGAAAAGCAAAAACTACTCTCGCCACATAAATTAATCTGTAACCAAACAAAGAAAAATTCTTGGAGACCAGAACAAATCCAATTGAACTTTCATGCTGACTGATTGTAATTGAAAAAAAAAAAACATATATCTAAGTGCCCAAAATTTGAGCCTTACATCATGTTATGTTCTAACACAAACAATTTCTTGGCTGTTAGGTAATTTATGTAGTTTTCGATCAATAGTTGTACTTATTTACCAAAAAAGTAAAATAGTCGAACACAAATGAAAGAAATTAATAAAAAATCTAAGTTAGAGTTGTTAAAGTTCACTTTCATTTGTATAATTCAAACTTCCACACATATATTCATATACTTCACTAGTTGTCAGACACTGCTAATTGCCAGGATAGCAAGATAATGAATTTTGTGAACGAAAAAAAAATGATATGCAACTTCAACTTACCATGCCAAAGAAGCTCCATAAGAGTAGTAGCATCCTCCTGATTGCATGCATCAAAAGCATTGCAACCGTAGATCCTGGAAATTATAAAAATTCATCTAGTCAAGAGACAATGTGATAGTTGTGGGAAGGTGACTATGCAACCAATAATCTAAGATATACCTCACAAATTTGCTATTCCATCATAATTTCACACAAAAAAAAGATCAAATTTTGATTCAAACATCAAACAAAACAATCCCATTTGTTACAGATAGGACCAACCAAATAAAGAATCTATCAATATGATTTTCAACCTAACTATAAAAATGAGCTTCATAACAGCACAATCAATATCATTTCAACCCAACTGAAAGGAAACTAATTGTATGCCATAAATTCCATGGGTTATTTGATTTTGCAGATTAAAAAGAATTGAAGAATACTGAAAATTACTAAACCCCATCACACCATATCATCAGTGAAGAATTAATTATTATAAACTCAAGCTTTGATAGTTAAATGTTAAGGATCAGTAATGATAATATTGACCCCTTTTAAATTTTATAATACCTCATCTATAAACTGGGACACCTTGTGCTTAAACAGCTTCAGTTCTGTAAACCGGACTTCTTGAAGAATTTAGCGGATCTGCAATAACATTAAATGAATGCATTCAAACCTTTATCTATTACCTGCCAAACCACTCAATGAGCACCCCAAAAAATGGTGATATTAATATAGAAGATAAGGATACAAAAGATTTAGTGAGTAATGACACGCCGATTACATGTCCAGACACCCCCCTGTGCGAAAGCAAGTAAAAGTGACACTATAATATAGGTTTCATTGTGAAGAGAACTTGTATAAAGAAAGGTAATCACTTCAAAACTTATTTCCATTGATAAACATCAACATTAATTTTGCATGAGACATATTTCCAGTTTATTTAGAATGACACCAAGAGATTTACTCCATACGATTTACAGCCAAACAAATAGCATAAGATAAAGAAAACATCTGTGTTTCTCATTCTGACTTGGCCAAATGGCCTAAACTATGAGAAATTATCAAATTTGGTTCTAATTATTATTGTTAGGGCATGAGTTTTGCTGTATGGAGCCCATTTCATCCAAGTTCTAATTATAATTGTTGTAATACACAGAGTTCAGTGCAGAGGAGTTTGATATATAACAATTAAAATTCACATAAAATTCGGTTTCCATGTAAAGAGTTCACATTTGTAGAAGCAAAGCCTAAAAAATAACTAACCTCGCCGACAACATTATATTGTTATCCTGAGGCGCCCCACTAATCCTCGCAGGCAGGTCTTGTTGCAGCCTCTCGAAGTCTCTCATCAGCCTCTTCCTTGTAGGAGTTGACATCATTAATTTGTTACCACCTATATATCATCAAACCAATTTAATAAACCCTATTTTAAGATTAACTATGCATTGAGTGCAAAACAATTTTATCTTTTTTTTTCCAACACCTATCAAAATATCAAAAACTACTTGAAATATACCAATGATAAGTCAACAATCAAAATCCTCACATAATAATTTTTAATTGATGGATAACCCAAAAGAAAGATACGCAAACATATAATGGTCACAAAAGTAAGAGTTAAAAATTCAAACCTCAAGAATATGATAATATTACACCAAAGATGCATGCTTAATTGAAAGTCCTGCCAAAGGAAAGTCAAAAACTAAAAGTCAGCAAAATAAAATTTAACAAAAGATTTAGTGCCAAAAGAAGTAATGCATACAATTTACCTATTTTATAATGAATCCAATTCATAAATATTTGGAGTGTAGGCGTTTCTTCCTAACAACACCCAAAATATAATTCGTTAATAGATTTAATTCATTCCATATATAATCATCCTAGGGTTATTGTGTTGCCCTCTTTGTGTTTTTCTTCTCCGAATAAATATGGAACCAAACCTATGAACTGTCTATGCACCTCAATACACAAAAACCAAGCATTATCAAAATAGGTAAAACTTAGATTTCTGCATACAACCCAATAATATCAATCAAATTTTCCTCTGTATTTAAAGTAATTTCATCCCAAAAAGCAAAATAGCAAGCCTGCACCCATACCGTACTCATAAGAATATATAAATTCTGTAGCTAATTAGTAATACAGCTACCACCTAAGTTCCTTTGTGAAGAAAAAAAAATTAACAAAAACTAAAATTTTAAGGGGAAAAAAATGAAACTTTTTTCTCCTGTAAGGGACCATACCAGCACCCAATTCAATCGAGGGTTTTTACAAATCCAAAACTACAAAAAAAATTGAGAAACAAATTTAAAGTTAAGATCGATGAACACCGTACCTTGAAAACGGTAAACATGCAAAATCCGACCACAACTTTTCTTAACAAATTTCTCATCTCCTCTAATCGAAACACAAAATCCGAAGATTCTGAAAACTTTATTCTCTTTTCGTTTCGGGTTTCAACCTAAAACCCTAATTTGAACCAAAATGCATAGAAAGAGGAAGCACATCGGATCTAATACAAACCTTCATTCTGATCATTCTCTTTGAACTTGTTGAATTATATTAAACTACATATAGGGAGAGGGAAAATAAAATTGCCCACGCGCTGCTGTGGGTTTTGAAACTGTAATGCAGGACATACTATGAATATTTTCGTCAGAAAGACAAATTATTTAGATTCAGATCACATCAACATATTGTGCATAATGAAGAAAGCGTATATTTGAAAGTTTGAATTAATGAAACATGCAACAACAAAATATACTGTTTTTATCCCCCCCCCC